CCTTTAATTAGTCACTATTTGATACCTTCAGAACGAAAAATCATTGATAGAGAGTAAAAGGAATAAAACTCTTCAAAAGTAATGACACATTCGAGTACGAATGTGCACATCAGTGAGTCGATTGCCACTTCGCGAAGAGCTGTCCTCTAAACTGACCAGTAAACGCATCGCCGTGAAGGCCAGTTTTAACTCGTATTAGCTGGCGATGCTCACGGACGCGGCTGCAGTGAGACCACGTGGCGTTTTCAGCTGGTGGAGGGATGCGGCCCCGCCCCCTCACCTGTCCCATCTGGCTCGCTGTCAAAGTCCCCAGCCAGTCTTCTCTCAGCAAACACGCCAAGGAAATGTTTCTTAAAGACGACATTTGGCCAGAAAAGTAAACACTGAACACGACAGCTTCGCGGCAGAATCTGGGAAGTGGAAGACAGCCTCTGGCTAGTGACCAGAACCACTTTGTCGGATGCACGTCTCACTCCGGCTGGTCTCGCGAGGGAACCGGGTCGAGCCTCCCTCTAACAGTGACCCACTGTTCCGGGAAATGGTCCCTTCCTATGAGCATGAGCCCCGGAGCAGCTCACAGCATCCTGGGAACGATGACGATTCTGAGCCCTCCGAGATGCTCTGGACCCGTGCGAGGTGAGCCGGGATCTGACTTTTGGGGGGTGCCGTGGTGGGGAGGAAATGCGTCACCGCTGACATTTACAGTAGAATTACTGCCGTCCAGTAAGGGGCTGCTCCATGCACCGTGAATCCAGCCTACCAAAGGCAGCTCGGAGAGTGAGCCATAATAAACACGCGTTCACGGCATAAGCGCGCCCACAGCGAGGAGGGCCGGGTCGGCATTTAAACCCTCTCAGAGGGAGTCGTTAGATGACACGGGTCACTCGAAAAGAATTGATACTTGCAGAATGGACTCTTTGGTAACCAGCAAATATATGGTTGTGGGCGTGCCGGACCGTGGTGACCAAACTGTGGGGCTCTAGCCATAGGAAAAGTATTAGGTTTGTTTATTATATTTGTTATAAACAAACATTATAAACACATAAACACACATCACGTTTGTCGATTCTTTTTGAATCATTCTGTATATTACAGGTGTGCTGATCCGAGGTCCAAAAATGGGATTCAGACGGTCTGCGAAACCCCTGAAATTACGTGCAAAAATGTTGTATGTCTGACAGTTGAGGTTATTTAAATTTACCCCACATTACAATTCATCTTTATGTAATAACACGGAATCAATACGATTTTTCACTAACAGATTTTACAGTGATTTGATTAATTCCTGAGTTCACCTGTAACTCGATTTGGAATCTGAAAAGCCCCTGCGGGGTCGAGGGTGGACGGCGGACGAATGGAAAACGTGCTGTCCTGTCTCGTCCCGTCCCATCCCGTCCCGTCCCGGCCCGGCCCACAGACTTCTCCCCCGGCTGCTGTGGCAGTGGGGCCAGGGCCACTGCAGCCCGCAGAGCAGCTCTCGCCCTTACAAGCCGTGAAAGGCACCCGGATGCCCGTGTGGGGGGCAGTGCTGGCCTGGAAACGCGGACCGGGCCCCAACCTCGCTGCCCCTTGGCGGGCACCGCTGCACAATCCACGGCCGCCCCAGGGAAAGCAGAAATACTCTGTGGCTCTTCAGCGCTTTTTCTACCTAAAATACACTGGACAGAGACCAAGATATACTCTTATTTAAAAAAGGAAAAAAACTATTTCATTTGAAGGTCCACATTTTTAGACGATTTAACATCTCTGAAATGGAAACATTTCTTACAGCGCTATACCTAATCAATCGGCCACTCAAATACAGTGAGTACATTTGCTGAGAAAAAAAGGGGGGGGTAAAATAATTCTAATTTCTATTCATCGTTCTCATTCAGAATAACTGTTCATTCCTGGCTTGAAAGACAGTGCCCCGTAGATGCATCAAACACAGCACTTGGTCTTGTCCTCTGCTTTCAGGGACCCTTAGGCTAAAGGTCCCTCCTCGGCCCCGAGCGCTCCATGCGCACCCTTCTTGGCGTGTTCTTCTGCTCTGCTGGGGACCGCGATGCTCTGCCGCTCTTTCCGCCTGCGGTCCCGTGAGCTCCTACAGGGCAGGAGCTGTGGACCTCTGTCTGCCTGGCTCTACGAGACAGCAGCGTCGGCTCTGGGGCCTGCCCAGCCAGCCACTGGCGTGAGATCGTGAGCAAGTCACTTAACCTTCAACGATGAGCAAAACTGTAAAGGACCGGCACGTGGCAGCTTCTTTCTACTCATCGCTATTCGGAGGCAGCGTGAGCTTTGGAATCAGATTCAAATCCTACCTTGTCACTCGGTGTGTCCCCTAACTACTGGTTACTTCTCTAAGCCCCAGCTTCTATGCACCATAAAGGCCAGGATCTTGTCTGTCCCATTCACGGTGTGTCCATTTGCATCTCATACAGAGCCTGGCACTTGCTGATTAGACCAAGGAATGAATGAAAGATGAAGGTAACTCCTTACGGCACTATTGTGAGAATTACCAGGAATGTATATAAAATGCCAGTCACAGTGGTAGTGTCTGGTGCATAATTTTGGATTGTGAAAACAAATGGATATGAAAAAAACAGGACGAAAGAAATGCTGTGGGCACCCGTGCCCGCGGATTTATCATGTAAGTAGTTAGCAGTCATGGGACACGGCTAACTGGCCGGCCCGAAGACGAATGCCCGCTGCCGTGAACTGTGCCTGCACCTCCAACACGACGTGTCGTCGGCAGCAAGGATCACTTGTTTGTTGAGCAAATATTTACTGAGCACTTAGGATGTGGAAGATACCCAAACGGATCAACATCTCCCAACAAGTACATCCAAGCGAGGCAGAGAACGAGGAAGCGCTCGGTCTCCAAGGGCCCGGGCCCTCGGGTGCCCGGAATGTTCACGGAGAGGAGACTGAAGACTTGTCGGTGGGCAGACGGGGTGCTGGCAGACGGGGCGCTGGCAGTCGGGGTGCTGGCAGACAGGGCGCTGGCAGCCTCTTCGCCTCTGTAGTTCCCAAACTGCTGTCACGGCTGTGAGCTCCCAGCTCCCGACCTTTTGGGCAGAGCGACGTAGCCCTTATGGCCTTTGTCACAGATACAGAGCGAGAAACACGGATTACGAGGTCAGGGCCCGGGCGTGTCCTGTGTCCCCGGATGCCACCCCCCCTCCCACGACCATGGCAGGACGGGGAGGAGAACCATGTGGATGTGAGGACTGGGAGGAGCGAGGGCAGAGCGCAGCTCTGAGTCTAAAAATAAACGACGACACCTCATCTGTAACCTGGCTGCTGGGCCACCTCACTTACGACATTCCAGACCGACGCGTGTCCTCCTCCTCCTCGATCGGAGAGGGGTGGGAGGACGGCTGATCGGAGAGCGGGGAAGCGGGGCCGTGAGGCTCAATTATCTGTTTGGATTCTGTGGTCGCACATTCTCGTACTGAGACTCTTAATTCAGAATACACAATAGGACATATGATTAAAACGATGTCCTATGCCTTCATATAATCATCTCTAGGCAAAAGGGTCTAAGCGGCAAACCTCAGGCTTAGCCCTAAGCTCACTAGGCTCACGAAGCCATTGGCATGGGAGCAGATTTCTGGTCACAGAAGGGCACAAGGACACTGGTCACAGCAGGGCACACAGGACACTGGTCACGGCAGGTCACATCAGGGCACACAGGGCGCTGGGAGCAGCAGCAACACTGTTTGAAAAATAATGAGCAGGAAACTCCCTAGGACCAGGGCTGCGGGAAGGAAAGGAGGGAGGGCGGAGGGAAGGCGGGAGGGAGGGCGGAGAGCAGAGGATGAGGGAAGACATCATAGATGCACCTGACAGAGCCGTTCATCTCAGGGATTAATCATGTAAAACGCTGAGCCCAAAGAGCTCTGGGAAATGGCCCTTCACCCCCACTGGCCTCTGGGGTGGGCAGGGGGCATCTGTGTCAATCAGCCGAGGAGCAGGACACTGACCGACATGAGTCCTCTGTTTCAGACACCCGGCTACGTGAGTGCCCAGAGACACTTCTGGGGGTACCAAGCTCCAACAGGTGATGGGAGCCTTTGACATCTTCCTTGCTCTCTTTATGTAAAATGTCTTCCAGTCTCCCCTGCCCACCTGGACAGCCCCGGTGGAGGTGACATGGAAGGCAGCTGTGTGTGTGGACATGGGGCGGGGCGGGGAAGGAGCCCTGCTCCTGGCCTAGGGCTCATCGGTTTTATTCTGTTAAAGACTCCTCTAGTCTCCCCTGGGCCACAGGACGAGAGTGCACGTGTGACATCAAGGAGACTAGACTTTGACCAAGTTCTCCGTCCGGGAGCTGCTGAGGGCCCTCGAGGACCGCGGGCCTGCTCCACCCCTGCACGGCTGGGCCAGTCCCCATGCAGCTGCGTGTCACCTCTCAGGGCTCCTGACTCGCTTCCCCATCTGCTTGACTCCAGGCTCCGACACGCTCATCCCCGAATCCCCAAAGCACCACGAAGGTCCGCGGCTTGGGCCCGCAGGAGAATTATAGTGCAGAAGCAACATTTTCCCAAAAAATCCTGGACTCCCCAATCCTCCACCTGCCCAGCCTGTGTCTGTCCCACGTCGCTTAGGATGATATCTATATATTTGTTCTTTCCTCGGCTCATAACCCCTTCTGTAGAATTGTGCTGGAAAAACCCAGATGTCTTTATCCCAGAGAAGCCCTTGGGCTCTGCAGGTGCTGTCAAGCTCACCGCACCTGTGATTTGTACCTGTCCACGTACAACAGAGAGCTGGGGAGGCCGAGGAAGCAGAAGAAGCCGAGAAGGGAGGTGAGCAAGGTCTGGTCTGGGATGCGTGCTATGCCTCAGAACTGTCTTCTGTCTCCTAAGGGTAATGCTCTAGCTTTATTTTATTTATATAACAGCTTTTCCTCCATACGTTATCATCTCACAAGAAAAAAAAAAAAAACTGGAGGATTGTTCGTGGAAATTTTAACCAAGCTGCGATTTTTGTAACATGAGGCCACACAGTATGTTCTTGCATAGAAAGATGCAAGGCCTGTCTTATTCTTAAAGGAAAAAGAACACGGCGAGACTCGCTTGTTTATTAAGATTGCTAAAATCATAAATTGATACTATGGGTCTCATTTTAGTGTGTCTCAGTGAGAATCTATTGAAGTAGAAGGGACGTTATGGGGGAGAAGCTTAGGAAGCGAAATCAGCTTTTTCATACACAGAGTGGCAGGAACTTGCTCGGACTTCACCAATCGGGTGGCAGTGCAGCAAACGGCGATCGATAGAGACGCGGCAAACGGCAGTGAAGACCGCCCTTCTTTCGGGTGAGAGGAAAGTCCGGGACAGGGGTCTGTGACTGCAGGACGCAGCTGTTTTATTCCAGATGTCGGAACTGCTGAGTAGCCAGTGTTCAAAGGTTTACAGCCCAGAATGAACATTCTAGAGTGCAAATTGCCTTTGACTCAGCTTTATGAAACACGGCATTTCAAAGTGATCACGTGTTGGGTGTACCCGTGGCCATAACGAAGAATGATGTGTGCTTATGCCAGAAGCTTCCGTAGGTACAAGACATCCCGAACACCCGTCACCACTGCAAGGCCGAGTCTGAGATGGGACAGGTGTTTAAAGTGGAAGAGACATAACGGGCATAAGAACTAGCAGTGGACGAGAAAGCTGAACGCAGTCATTGCGCCTGAAGCGGCTCTACCAGCAGATACGTCTTCGGGGACCGAACACTGCACGTTCACGGATGACCCCCTGCTCGCTGACCGACAGGTCCGAGTTATCTTTCTAGAACGTAAACATTTGCTGGGAGACAGCAGAGAGAGGAGGTGAATAAAAGGCCCTTGACGCGGTGACAGTGGCCTTCGAGGGCAGAGCAACGCGACGCAATGTTTCCGTCTGGGAAAACGGACTCATCCTGTGTGAGGCGAATGGACAGAAAGCGAATGGGGGCGGCTGCAGGTTCTGCGTGTCCGAAGCCCAAGCGCGCTTGCGAGGCCCTGGCCCCTCTAAGCAAAAGCATCCACGTGTGAGAGCACGAGAGGGCCCCTCCCAGGCCCTCGAGTGGCCCGTGCCAGCAAGGGGACCCCGGGGTCAGGCTTCACAGTCACCTACCTTGTGGGCGAGCGACAGCTGAGGCCACCGAGCCCGTCACCCCACTTACCCAGCCGCCCGAGCTGGAAACCCCAGGAATTATCTTTAATTCTTCCTCCTCTTTCTTCCTCTTCAGTCGCCATGTCAAGCCCATTTCAGTTCCTGTTCCTCAGACTGATTTCTGTCCTCGTCCTTCACGCCGATACCTTGCAGCCATCCCTCATCGCCTCTTTCCGCAAAGAACGGGTTCCCGTCCCCACTTTAACTGACTCCCAGAAAGCGACCCCTCACCCGACCACCCGGAATCCCGTCTGTCTAAAAGCGAGAGCTACGATTTCACGCTTCTGTTGAGTACACCCCGTTAACGCCCCATGTGGAAAGCCCCCAGCACCGACACCGGCTGCCTGTGGGTCCCTGCAAGCACTCAAACGTTCCTGGCTACGCTCCAGGCCTGGCGTCTCCTCCGTCTCTCCTCCTCCCTCCTCCTTCCTACCTCCCTTTCCCAGGCTCACCTCCTCCCGGAGGCCTTCGTCCACACCCACCCCTCCGCCACCAGCAAGCTGGCTTTGCGCTGTCCTCTGCAGCCCACAGGCAGGGCTCCACCAAGGCTCCCAGCACCCCGCGTTAGAGGGACTTGCTTATACCTGCCTCTCCGGGCTGGGAGCTCCTTGTCTGATTACTTTTTGTGTCCCCAGCACTTAGCAGAACGTAGGTCCTCACTAGTCATTTTTGAATGAATGACAATGTAGTGACTAAATCAATCACTGCATGAGTCACTCTCTGTGACAAAGCACAGAGAGATGAGAGGGCGGGGAACTTAGTTCTGGGCTTTGCCCAAGATCGTAGGCAGGGGAGACAAGGCAGCTGAGCACGGGCGACGGAGAATAATCAGCCAGAAAAACGAAGGGCCAAGGGGACTTGTACCATCTTTCTACTTATCGTTACGTTACGGGGTTTCTACACTGAATGCAGGTTACCTTTTACATAAGAAACAAAGGAGTTTATTAGGGCACATGGTCAGCTAATGTAACAGAGAGACCCCCAAACGAATGACTGAAATACAGTATTTTTTATTTCCCTCTCATGTAAAATCCAGGGGTGATCAGTCTAGGGCTGGCAGAGCAGGACTCTGTCCTCCACTTGCCAGCCCTGCCACCTTGCCCACCAGCTTCCAAAGCTGCTGCTAATCCCAGTGAGAACAAAAGACGAAGGACAGAACAAGCGGTTGGTTTTAGGGAAGCAGGAAGTTGCCTGCAGCTCGTGGCCGATGTCCACACCCAGCTGCAAGGGAGGTTGGGAAATGAAGTCTCTAGTTGGACATCCACATGCCCTGCTAAAAGTCCGGACAGTTTATTCATAAAGGGAAGAAGGGGAAAGCAATATCAGGCACCACCAGAGATCTGGTGTAAAATGTTCTGTTCCGTTTTCTATGAGAGAGAGAGAGAGAGAAAGAAAGAAAGAGAGAGAGAGAGAGAGAGAGAGAGAAAGGGAGGGAAGGAGGGAGGGAAGGAGAGAGAGAATTTTTTATAAAGCAGTAGAAGCAGAAGCCAGGTTTTAAGGGGTTAAGAGTTACTGGGAAGTGGACAAGGTTAAGTGCAGACCATTTACAAATGTTTAAGAGACACGGGGTGATGACCAGAAAGAGCATCGCAGTCAGATCGGGTTTTCGTTTGCTTTGCTTTTCCTGAGGGTACCTATGCTCACTGCGAGGTGAGAGTAAGGCCAGAATGGCAGAAGGCCCCGAACTAGAGGCTTCGGCCTCGTGACATCGGAAGGACGACTCTCTGGGAGTCGAGGGAAGGATGGGAGGACGGCGTAGAGACTTTGACCTTGAGGTGAGGAGGAAGCGAGACTGGGAAACTGACAGGAGCCGCAGCTCTCCAGGGTCTCCCACTGCAGAGCCCCAAGCTCTAGACTGTCCCGCCCCTAATTCTAGCCAACCTCATCCCCTCCCCCAGGTATCACCTGTGACCTATTCCCCTCCGTTTTCTGCTTTGCACAGTGAATGCAGCAGCCAGACAAGCAGCAACGAAGGCTTCGGAGGACACTCTGCCTCCCGTTCACCTTCCGATTCATTGAATTACACATTCTTGATTCAATACACAAGATCTCCTTGTACGTTCCCACAGCTGGGGACATGGGGGCAAACAGGACCAAGTCCTTGCCCTAGTGGGGTTTGACAGGACGACGTGTACATTTCAACAACGACCTGAAGACGACTTACCCAGTTCCTTTAATAGTAAGATTTTCAGGGAGGGTAGGAGATGGGGCAATGCTGTGAGTGATCCCTCTCCGGCGACACTGAAGACACAGCTGTCCCCTGGCGGCTGGCAGAATACGGACAGTGGATCCGTGGAACGCATAATAACTGGAGATAACAGAACACATTCACCTTAACGAGGCGAACAAGCCACTAGGTAGGACCTTACCTTACCTGGCCAAAGTTCCAGCGGTTCTACCACCTGGATTTTCTGCCCACGGCCTGGGCCTCCCTCCCTCCGCCCTCTCTTCTCACCGTGTCCTTGGCCCACCATTTGCTTTTAATTTTCTCCTGCGCATGATCCCTTTCGATTTTTAAGCTCAGCGACCTGTGTTCTCCGTTGGGCAGCAGAGGGTACAGGTTAAGAGCATGGACACTTAGGTAAAAGGCTTGAGTGACAGTCTTGGTCCTTGACAATTTCATTCACGTCTCTAAGTCTCAGCTTTGGCACCTGCAGGTGGAGATGATGCCTGCCTGTGCTCTGCTTCTGGGCATCAAAAGGGATGTCTGAGTGAAGTTCTTCACACCATGTCGGCACCTGGTGACCGCCAATAATGGCGCCTTGTTACTGTGTGACAAGGTGCCCGCACAAAGCAGCCTGACCAGATCGGGCTGTTGGCCCAAGTTAACAAAAGAGATAAAAGGGCGTTTACCGCGCAGACCTACAATGAGCCAGGGGCCGGAAGGAGCCGGGCCTGTCGCAGCAGCTGCCAGCCTGGCCGGGGCCTCTGGGTGGGCCTGGACGAGGCTGAGAGGAAACGCTGAGTCACCTCGCTCCTGGGGCAGGTGCGGCCTGATTCCCGAGGCAGGCCGCCCCGCAGCGCACTCAGGGCCCACCGTCCGCCCTGACCTCCTGACCTCCTGACCTCCCCCTCGTCTCAGCCGCACCGACGCCGCCGCCTTGCGCCCCCTGCTCCGCCTGGTGTTTTCCTTCTCCGGGCGTCAGCCTCCTGAGCTCGGGCCGCGGGCAGGTGCCGGGCGACACCCCGGGACGCGCCCGCGGATCAGGGGGCGCCCTGGGCGGGAACGGGCGCCACCTTCCTTCCTGGGAACGTGGGTCCCGTTCCTCCGAAAGCATCACGTGAGAGCCGGGAGGAAGCGACGAAAGGAACCGCTTGGGGACGACGGAGAAAGCGAAGCGAAGGGAAACTCGGGTGTGTTTTCCCGGAGAGCGACGGGCCCCTCGCGGCGCCTGAGCCGCCCGAGGGCGCTGCCGGGGAGAAGGGCGCCCGCCGTGGCCTCGCCGTCCCAGGCTCTCCCGCCACCACCGTCCTGCGCTCTGCTCTGCCGCAGGCCCGCGAGCCCGAGGGTTGGGTCTGACTTTCGGGCTGCGGGGCTCGGGGCGCACTGCGGACGTCGCGGGCCACGCGGGAAGCGCACTTGGGCGTCTTCACCTGCTGGGGGACCCGCGCGGGCAGAAACCCCGAAGCCTCGAGTGCGCCAGGCCCAGGTTCGCGTCCAGGGCCCCTCGCCCCGTTCCTCAGCCGTGGAGTGCGGGGGGCTGAGACGTCCCCGCATGAGGACGCAGCGGCCACAGACGCCTCCCCGGTCCCCACGGCTCCTCTCGCAGCACTGACCGCAGCCTCTGCGAGGGACAGCAGGTGGGAGCAGCTGCAGGTCCGAGGAGCAAGCGCGGCCGCCACCACCGATGCCACTTCCTTCCCTCTCGGGCTCCAATCTCTGATGGCTCCCCTCACCCCCGGATGACGCAAATAAGCCACCCCGCCAGGGTACGTGCGCCCCACCCGGGGTGGCTAAAGCGAGGGTGGGCACGTCCCGCCTCTCCGCTCCCTGCTCCCCGCTCCGAGGGGCCCTGGAGGGGGTGCCCCCCTCGGCAGCAGATGTGCCCCCTCGCCCTGCTCCCCGGCGGTCACCGTCGTGGCGGAGGGTGGCAGTGGCGCCGGCCCTCGTCTCAGCCTGGCGTCCTTGGCTAGCCCTTCGAGGCGGGCCACCGGCTCGCCGGCGCCACAGGTTCTGACTGCCACCTCTGTGCTCAGATCAAGGCCCCAGTTTTCCTTCTTGTCCATATTTGTTTGCAGACGGACTGTTTTTTCCAGGCCCTGGGTCTGTATGTTCATATTAACTCTCCAGGTTGTTATTCAAATGAATCGACACAACTTCTTTTACTTAATTTGAGTTTTTGGTTGTTGTGAGTTATTATTGAGAAATAGGACAGAATCATGGAAGGAGAACTGATAATTTTTTAACTGTTAAAGGTTATATAAAATTATTATTTTTCTTAACATTTTCTGATTATAAAACTACTGTATAATCATTTTACGAGATAGGAAAAGTCCAGGAAAGATTAAATCGCCAAGATAAAAAGCACAATCATGTCATCACCCCACGGCGACCACTCGACTGTCCACGTTTTGATATATTTCCTTCCAATCTTTTTTTCCTACACTTTTTAGTAGGAATAGTAATGCTATTTTTATCAGTGGCACCCTTCGGGGAAGGACGGGCGCTGTGCTCAGTGTCGCATGCATACTAGCCAGCAGCCCCCACAACCCAGAGAGACAGGTGTAGCTGAAACTGGAAACTGAGTCGAGGAAGACGAGTCGGTCGCTAGTCTGAGCGAAGATCCACGTGTCTCGCTCCCAGGGCAGAACTCGGAAGGCGGGGGACCCCCCAGGGAGCCTTTTGGTGGGTCTCACGGAGTTAATGAAGCGGTGGGAGGGGTGCGGGCGGCCGAGGCGATGCTCAGCGAGCCAGGCCTCTCCCGATCATTACGCGATCCGACCTACTGGAAGCAACTTCCTCATCTGCACGGAGACATTTTTCAAGAGAGCTTCATTCCTCCGTGAATCCAAAATAGCACTGCTCGTCAGACAGGTGACAAGACAGATGGAGGGAGCTACCTGCAGGCACCGATCCAGCAGGGCCGCGATGGGCAGGAGCCGGGCAATGTTCTGGTTGCCAGAGACAGCAGACAGTCACGGCAGCAGGGCCCGGGGCCATGGGCCAGACGTGGGTAAATGACGGAGGTGTGTGTTGCAGGCCGCGCGCGGACCCTCGTCTGCGCGTGCGCGTGGAGAGCAGGCTCCGCCCCTCCACCTGCTGCCATTCGCTTCAAGTTCGCTTTTGCTTTCCTTCTTCATCTTATTTCAATACTGTGTGAAAATGTGTAGGACGTTGACTTTGTTCAGTGTATTCAGAGAGGTGTCACCTGCGTCTCCACCTCCCCAACGCCTTTTTCCTGCCCTTCTAGAAAACCACTTTTACTCGTTTTCAACTCACCTTTCCAAGGCGTTTGTTTCTGGCAAAAATAATCAAACATCCTTGACTCTCCTCCTTTCTTACCAAAAAGTGGCATTCTACGGTATTTTATACATGTCTTTTATCTACCTACCGAATCTTTGGTTCCAAGTCTTGTTTTGAGAGAGTTCCTCTTTTTCTTTTTCTTTTTTTTTTTTTTAACAAACAGCTGCTGTTTTCTATTTATATAACAAATGTCCTATTGATGGATATTTGGATTGTTTATAACCTTTTGCTATTACAAATAATATTTCAATGAACACCGTGCACATATTGCTTTGAATTTCTAGAGATTCTTAAACGTAAAATTGCTAAGTCAACAGGTGAATGCAAACGTTGCTTCACTAGTTTCAAAGGACCCTCCAGAAAGGCCACACGATTTCACACTCTCAGCCACAAGGACGGCTCCTGTTCCTGCGTGGCCTCCCCAACAGAGGCTGTCCTCGGACTTCTTAGGTTTTGCCAGTCAGGTAGATAACCAATAATATTTTCAAATACTTTTTAATTCCCTTGTCTCTTAACATAAGCAAGACCAAGTAGCCTCTTGGGTACTTAAAGGCCATTTGATTTTTGTTTATTTTCTAGTTTCCTTCTTCGAACGGCCTGTTCATATCTTCTGTCCGCTGTGCCTCATTTGAGGGGCTTCCGGAGGTTCTTGCTTATTCACTCTTCTTTTGAACTTTAGAATCAACTTTGCTGACTCCAGAAAAAAAAAGTAAATGGCCACTTTGAATGGGATCGCAATAAGCACATTGACTTGGGGGGGCCTAGATCGGCGCCCCCGACGCCTGACACCCGATCCAAGACCACGGCACGTGTTCCTATCTGCCCGGCTCCCTGTCCCGCAGAGGTGCTCTCCGTCTTCCCCC